GAAGGGAGGGCAGGGGAACGGGGGGAGAAATGAGAACCAAGACCTGTCATGTAAAGGTACAAGATCCCAATAATGAATGTAACTGTGCTGTATACCTAAAATGTACCAATAAGCTCAATGAGGAAAAAAATAAAAACAAATTTACAGAGGTACTGATACCTAGGGTTCACAACCCAAGCGTCTCTGATCCCTTCAGAAGTGCACCTCAACCTGACGGAGCTGTTTCCAACTACTGCCACCTTCCGAAGGATCTCAGTTCCCCCATCGCCCCTCCTCTTCCTGCATCCCCAGACCTCCTCCTGTAAATGATGGCTTCCGTGGGGTCCCCACCCGAAGTCCCCCCGGGGGGTTCCCGGTCTCAAAGAGCAGTCCACGTTTCCACTGTAATTCCTCACCTCTCATCACCGTGACCTCTCTCCCGCCTGGACCTCCCTTTAGCGTTCCACACTGAAACTACTCCAGGGCGCCACTGACGTCTCCACTGTCCAGACTAATATTTCTGTCCCTCTCTATCCAGCCACCCTTCCGAGTAAACTCTCTCCTTCTGGTTTCTGGACACCCCCAACTCCTGCCCCCAACCCCACCTTCCTTTCTCCCCGGAAGGCTCCCTGCTCCTCCCAGCCTCTCCTTTTCCAGGCCCATCCTCATTCTCGGGGGCCACAGAGCCTGAATAATCTGCTTCCGACAAAACAAACATCAGCTAACTTGCTTAGGTCTTCAAACACTCAGGGTGGTGAGGTTTTGCTGTGTCCTTGAAGACTTCATGGCAGTCTCTTGAACCTCACTGTGCCCTGTGGTGGCCTCCTTCCTGCTCCCCAGAACAACAGTCCAGCCCTGAAGCCTTCACTTTCTCTACGGAGAGTGCTTGCAACTCGCTCAGCACTGTGGCTAAACCTACGCACCCACTGTGCCTTCTGGTGTCTATTTCATTCTTTTCTAAACCTTTGTGTCTGCATCGTTTTCTGTGTCTCCCAAGACTAACAATAGCAGTGCGTCTCGATGGGATCCCTAGAACTGAAATGTATGTGGTTGCCTGAAAGGCACAGAGGACACCACGTTATGTAACAACCTCTTGCTAGCAATCCAGTCCCAGCCCTCTCTCCATCTCTGCAAACCAGCTTCCAGGAAGTGAGGAGAGGACCGGCCCACTTGGGGAGATTGACATGGGAGAGATAAATCTTCTTCCGGTAGACCCAGCTGCCTGGCCACTGTGTTTAGAGAGCTGAGGTGACCGTGTCCACAGAAACACAAAGCAAAGCTGGACCAGGTGCATGTTTAAAAATGGACTCCCTTTTTGATTAGGTTAAACTTTTACAATTTTCTTCGTACTTGGGTTTAGAGGACAAAATGCGAGGGACAGGTACCTCATAAACTCCTCACTGTCTGTCTAGATCTTTCCTCCACGCTCCAGGTTCAAACGCCCAGCTGCCTGTTGGAGAGTCAGCCGGATGCTTGGTGGGCTTCCCTGGTCCTCCATCTCCACACTGCTGTCTGCGAGGAGCCTTCTGCACCCCACTGCCACTTTCCTTCCCTTCTGTGCCACCACCCAGGCTAATCTGTCCACCACCAGACACATCCAGTGGTGGGGATTGAATCCAGGGCCTTCTCCAGCCCTTTCTATTTTTTATTTTGAGAGAGTGTCTTGCTAAGTTCCTAACTTGTGCAGGGTTGCCTTGAACTTGAAACCCTCCTGCTTCAGCTTCCAAAATGCTCAGATTACAGGCATTGCCACTACACCCAACTCTGCATGTCTTAAAAAGACTCCTAGTGGTAGGGGTAAGGGATCCAGAAATTCCTTGGCAGCAGATACAGCCAATAAAGAGCCCTGTGATTATACACTTTATCCTACTCTGTGCCCTTTCCTAGCATTCCCAAGAAGCCTGGCCTGATCTGTCTTCTGGTTGGCAGCAAACATTTCATTTTCTCTTCTCACCTGGAAGGTATCCTGACTGTTCCAAGTAGTACTGTTTAGATGCCGGCAAAGATGACAATTCAGAATCAGATTTGAGAGAAACAGCAGTAGGCACACTCTTGTTTTCCCTGGCCGGGGGGTTGGCACCTAGGAGTCCCGACTCTGGAAGCCTGGAAAGTCGACACAAGACAGTTATGAAAATGGACCTTTCCCACCCCCTTGAGTCCTTTCAACCGTCACTGCGACTCCCTGAAGTGGTTTCCCTTAGAGTCCCCTTGTGACAGGAAGGGTAATGACACCCTCCCCACACACATCAGCAGTAAGGAGAGGCTTTTCTGCTGCCAGACCAGGATGTGGCTGAAGCTCCTTGCGCCAGTTTTGGGGGTTGAACCCAGGGCCTTTGTGCTGAGCTCCTTCCCCAGCCCTTATTTATTTGTTTGTTTATCTCTTTATTTAGACAGAGTCTCACTAAGTGACTAAGTGGCCTGGGCTGGACTCAAGCTTGTGACCCTCCTGCCTGGGCCTCCCAGAGCTCTGGGTATCACCTTAGCAGCAAAGTGCTGCTGTATAGTATATTCTTATCTTCTCTGAAATTGCCCCCTGCAGCCATTTCTGTGTAGGAACAGATGACTTTGAAGGAGATGTTAGAACGTGGCCTCTGTTCTATTTCCTGACTGCCATGTGGTGAAGGGGTCTCCTCTGTCACATGTTCCTACCTCATGTTTTGGGCCCGTGCCAGGCGACCATGGACTGAAACTGTGAGCCAAATAAACCTTTCTTCCTTATACATCGATTGCCTCTGTTATTTTGTCACAGTGGTGGAAAATCTGACTACCACAAGGATTTTTCTTAAATTTGGGCATTTTAAGGAAGAGCAGTTGTGGAACATATAAGGTCTGTGTTTATTTATGTTTAACAAAATAAGGTTGATGCGTAGTCAAAATATGAATTTAAAATCTTACCGACACAGAGAATCTTTTACCTCTTTTCTTTGAAAACACCAATGCTTGGCTTCTTGGAATGGGAGGCTCCGAAGTCACTGTCCTCAAACTCCTCCCAGCTGTCTCCAGATCTGAAGACAGCCTGGCCCCAGCGCCTCCTCGCAGTTTTATGGCCCAGTGTGCCCATTGGCTTCTGGGGGAAGAATCGACCACTATGATCTTTAATTCCTTTTTGGACGCCTTTCACACACAAGCGACCCCATCAGACCCGGAGTCCCCATCCTCTGAGGAGCCTTCTGCAGACAGCTGTGTGCTGTCCTGTGTCATTTCCTCTCAGGATGCACTGACAAAGGCATCCTTAGGTGACTGTCGTGGTACGAATGTCACACAGAGCTCTGACACAGCCCCACACAGCACAGCCTACAACACGCACCCAGGCTGTGTGTCAGACCCACTGCTCCACTTAAAAACACTGTGGAATTACTGTTGGGATCCTTAAGATTTAGGGTCAGTACTCTCAACTACTCTTTATTTTTTGGCATGGTGACAGAGATTGAACCCAGGGCCTTCACACTGAGCTATAGCCTTATAAACATTTGAAATTTTGAGACAGGGTCTCAGAAGTCACTAAGTTGCCCGGGCAAGGCTTGAACTTGATCCTCCTGCCTCAGCCTCCCACAGTGCTGGGATTACAGGTTCACCCCACCAAGACTGGCTCTTGTCCTTTTCATTTCTTTGAATTCCTTTGCATGGAAGTAACTGTTACAGGAAATCTGCAGCCTGCAGCATTTAAGCTTTTATTCTGCAAGTTATACTCTTTCACACACTATTAGAATGTTGTGTGGTCTCCTGTGGAGCTGCTCCCAGAGGGAGCAGGGCCTTTACCTCTTCAAAGACAGTTCTGGAAATACCTAGAGACAGAATCCGAACCGCACTGCCCAGCTACTTCCCGCAACGCGTCGCTGTTGGTTACTTACAGCCGGCCCATGTCTGCTGAGGCTTGGGAACAGCGTCTGGGGTGGTTTCTGCTGGCTCTGTTGCTTGGGGGGCGGTGGGCCGCCCACACTCTGCACCAGCTGGATGGACTGCAGAGGCTGGTGGCCATGACTGGGCTGGGCTGGGCCCACAATCTGGTCCATGACATCTGGCAGAGTCTTAGGCTCTAGTTCAGCAGAAGACGGCTTCGATTCCAGGGACTGCAGCTGCTTATTGAAAGTCTGCTTGGACTCCAGATGATGTGAGGAGGGGCCTAACACCTGGCCTACTTGGAAGTACGGGTGTTTCAGTGCCTATAATAGTGCAAACACGTTACTTTAACATTTATCTACTCTTAAATGGTGTGCACCCTTCCTTTGGGATACGTTGCCCACCATTAACAGAGTAAGAACGTTTCTGTTTATTTGGTTCATTGGTTTGTTTTGGATTTTTGTTTTGTTTGGTTTTTTTGTTCCGGGGATAGAACTCAGGACCTTGTGCTTATGAGGCAGGCGCAGTGCCACTGAGCTGAATCTCCAGCCCAGGTTGGTTTGTTGTTTGAGACAGGGTTTCACTTGTAGTTCCGTCTGGCCTTGAACTCACTATGTGGCCCAGGCTGGTCTCAAACTTGGTGCAATCCTTCTGCCTCAGCCTCCCAAGTGCTAGGATTACATGCATGCACTACCAAGCACCGCTTGATATTTCTTTTTTCTTCCTTTTTTTTGGAAGGGGGGTGCTTGTTACAGAACTCAGGGCCACTTACACACGGCCATAATGTACCACTGAGCTACCCTATCAGGCCTCCAACTTTAATTCTTAAATAATCCAGCCTTCTGAGTGTCCTGTTCTAATTTTTTCTATTACTTTAATAGTCATGTTCTTCTCATCTTGAAGTCAAATATCTGTGTAGCTTTCTTTCAGTCGTTAATGACTTAGTGTCATTCATATATAGAAATGTGAAAATAAAAATGTAAATATGTTTGCGCCTCAGCCTCCCGTGGGGTTAAATAACCCGTGTTTAGCCCTCTGTGACATATTTGGGAATTCTGCGGAGAAGAACCGGAATTCCCTTGGCCCCGCTTGTGATGCGGCGTTCTGCACCCCGGGGTTGCTTTGTCAGTCCCTGCGCACAGATCAACAGATCGTCTCCACAGCGGTCCCCCACCCTGCTCTCTCCCGCTTCAAACTGTCTGACTTCCTTCCCATTTGTTCTTCCAGATGGCCTTAGAGGACATTTTCTTACGTTAAATTTTTGAAAAAGAGCAAGGTAAGTGTTTGGTATGGTTCACATAGAATTTATATTTAAATGATAAGAATACAATAAAATTTATCATTTTAAAAATGTAAGCCTTTTGCAAATAAGGACTAGGAAGGAACACGGGGCGGGCGCCACGGTGCTGCCCTCTAGTGGAAGATTTGCCGCTGTGTCCAGCAAATGAAAACCCCACCTCGGCCAAGGAGAGCACAGAAGTCACTATACGCGCGATAGCAGAGATTCCTTTTTGCTGCCCAGAACGAGCGTCATCCTAGCTGGTTTGTCCCGTCCCAAATTACTAGAGTTGGATTCCATTCTGGCTCCACCCTGTAAGTTTCCTCATGGGAAGAACAAGATAGAAGAAAATACAGCTGCTGTAACTGCATTTCTCCCAAGGATTGTACGTGTCTAGAAATTGCTTCCTTACATACGCTGCAGGTCTTCATTTTCTTGGTAAAACCTTGGTTGACAAAAGATTTGTCTTTCTAAGGGAAAACACCCTGCTATCATAAAACCTCAACATTTTAAAAAGGTATAACAGGGAGCTTTGTCGCACCTGGCTTGCTGTTGGTCGTTTCTTTGGATCCCAGTTCAACATTTCGGCCATCAGATGAATGGCTTCATTACTGGCGTTGGGAACAAGAGTTTTTAAATTGATGGGAACACACTGGGGAAATCGGAAGTTCATGGAGGACGCGAGCTGGTACCCTTCGGGCCAGTCACTCTGTTTAAGGAATACAACAAGTACAGGCAGGGGCGAGCGAAAATCAGATTGTTTTTAGTAATCAACTTTAAAACAGCAATAATATAAAAATAATTCAAGTGTGACAATTTTAATGCTAATTTATATAAGTAAAATAGCAGATACTCTGTATGATTCAGTCCTATAAAAAAACCACATGGAAAAAGAACACTGAGCTGAGAGTTAGGAAAAAACAAGAAAGCACTTTCATAATTAAAACTCTAGTGGTGAAGATGGAGTGCTTGGTGACTCTGAACTAAAATGCTGCTTACAGACAGGCTGTGTCCCCACCAAAATCTTCATGATACGTTATGTATCAAGTCTAGTGTTAAAAACTCCACATACCTGGGGAATGCTAATTATAGTAAGGCTTTAATGTCTACATTTCTAGGCCTGATGACAAAGCACACATGGACTTAATTAGGGTGTAGTTATACTTAGTAAACACTTCTTAAGGACATCTTAGAAATTAGGGTCTACAAAAATGTGGTATTAATTGAAAAGTACTGTACTCAGAGTTTAAGAAACCAGATATCTGTGGCAGAGAAAACGAAATCCAAACAGGCAAGGAATATGAGGAAAAGGTCCAGGACCCAGGGCTGAGTAGGCCGATGACAGAGAGCGTTCACAGAGTGGGCAGAGAAACATTTGAACAAGGCTGACTATGTAGTTATCAGCCGGTCACTGACCAGAAGTCCTGCTCTAAATAGATACAATTTTTATTGAACTTCTTCTTTTTTTTTTTTCTTTTTGCGGTACCAGAGATGGAACTCAGGACCTTGCTCTTGCGAGGCAGGCATAGCATCACTGAACTAAATCCCAGACCCTTCCTTGAAGTTCTTAAGGAAAGGCAAGTACTGTTGTCTTACAGTCTGGTGCGATTCTGGCTTCTTATGATTCTTATCTCATCCCAATAAAAAAAAAAAGTATAAGAAAACCATTAGAGTATGGAACTATTTAAAAAATTAGATATGTTGGCAAAATGTCTAAATAATCAAAATATATAAAATTACAAGTAAAGTAGCAAGTTAGAAATAATCAAAAGTCATCATGATTTAGGGACAAGAGTACTTACTTTCTTGGGCGTCCCTAAAACTTGGCAGATTTTAAAGATTTCATCAACCTCACTTGTCCCCGGGAAAAGCGGTCTTAATGTGTACAGTTCCGCCATTATGCTCCCCACGGCCCACACGTCAATGGGAGAACTGTATACTGAAGATCTTAGTAAAACTTCAGGAGCACGGTACCTATACGCACAGCAAACAAGACCAAAGGAAAAAAGGGCTGCTTTGAGTGGAACTTCACACTTGGGTGAATTCATGGCTGACCATGCTGTCAGGAGGCGTGACCCGGAAGGGTGCATCCTTGTCTCCAGCCCTACCTTCCCGTCTGCTTCCTGGTTGCCCTGGGACGAGCAGCTCTCCCTGCCCTGCCCTTCTACTGTGCTGTTTCTGCCTTGGACTCAGCCAGCCATGGACTGAAACCGTGAGCCAAGTTAAGCTTCTCTTTCTTCAAGTTGTGGGTGTGGAGTATTTTGTTCCAGCAACAAGAGAGTGACTAAGAAAATCTCCTTCCAGAGAATCTTCCTGCAAGCAGAGATTTTCTGAAGCTAAGGCCACATTAAAAATAATAAGCTATTATATTATTTGAGCTCTTATCGCTTCATTTGTTTAGGAGGATAAATGTCAGTGTCTTCCTGTATTCAACCTTTGCTTTCAATATCTGCAGTGTTCGATAAGCTTCAGAGACTTTGAATTTTTGGTCCTCCCATTTATTAAAAATTCTGAATTAGGATTTCCAAGAGATCTGGAACAAAATGAAACCAAAATTTAATGGACTTGTTTACAAGGAAGCAAGATGCCCCTCAGAGCACCTAAACTGGTTTACAAAGCAATTCTGCAAGGGCAATGACAGATGGCAAAAAGAGTTCACATACAGCCATGCTGAGGTTCTGGGGTTATTTCTTGTAATTAACATGGGTTTCATCACAAAAGTTTGATAGTTTAGCTACTCTACTTCTGGATGTGTGTATGGGATTTGTAGATCCAGACAACTACAGTTTGTAATTTGATTGGATGCAATTCCAAAATAGACACTCGTCCTAACTAAGTCTGCTTCTGCCTTTGTGGCATCTTAATTTAGCAGGGACACTTTTCCTGACTCTGTGCTTACAGGGAATTTGTATCTGTACTCCCACTGCAAAGCCATATTTTTATCTTTGGTGTTGAAGCTAACTGAGGTACAGTAGCACTCACAGTGATGTCGGATGTTTCATCTCTCACAGAATGAACAACCCAAAGTTTTACCCTGATTCAAAGACATTTAAGTCATTATTAGAAATGAGAACTGATTTTTTTCTTTGAGGCAAGGAAGATACTTGTTTAAAGCTGGCATCATGTAGCTGTGAAATTCTTTCTCCTGGGAAGCAGCTTGTACTTTCACAGCCATTTACTGCCTTCTGTAACTTGCATAACAAAACTTGAAATCAAAGATGAGTGAAATTAACTTAGAAGAGTCTCTGGCCTCAAGGAGAGGCAGAAAGAACCTTCTGAAATAATGTGAAATTCACCTGAAGCCATGCTTGCCTATGACCATCCCTGCGGTCTTCCTAAGACAGTAACTAACTTTTCAAGTGGGTTCTGGTTGTCACTAGGTCATGACCGTGACCCTTGTGATAGGTGACAATTACCAACACATGTTATGTGTAGGTTATCGGCATTTCTCTTAAGAAACAGAAAAATGCCATTTTTTCCCAGTAAATATGCACCTTTATTTTTTGGAGTTCACTGTCAATAAAAGATTGCATTGCAAAATCATTTCTTCAGAAAGCATACCAAATGTATTCCTTCAAGCTGTTGTAACAAAGTGCCGGACCTGGATGGCTTAATGTTCTGTCAACAGTTTGGGAAGCCGGAAATCTGAGCTCGCGAGGTGCTGGTGTGGCTGTGATCCCTGGGGGTTCTCGGAGAAATCTGCTCCAGGCCGTTCTAGCTTCTGGTGTTGCCAGGTGATTCTGGGCACTGCTGGGCTTGGGGACCTGGCACTCCCACCCCCGCTTCGGCCAACACAGAGGTGTCTGCCGGCTGTGCTTACACAGCCATCTGCTGGGCTACCTCGGCATCTCCCTTCTAGAGCACATCAGGACCTCCACATGCCAGTGTGGCCTCAGCTAAACTTGGTCACACCTGCAGAGACCCCATTTACCCCTTAAGGTCACATTCACAGGTATCAGTATATCTTTCAGAGGATGTAACTCATCCTGTAATGGCGAACAGTGAGATAGTTATAGATTTATATTGTGTAATAATCACTAGAACATATTCAGACTACATCAGATACACCCTCCAGGTACACTGCCGAGTGTTTACGTCTGACCCCTCTGTGCACCCCAGACCCTACCAGTGAACAGCTCAAAGGCCACCGTGGCTGCCAAACCTTTCTCCAGCTGACAACCAGATGGAGGGCCATTCCTGTCAAACACATCTTGTTGCACTACCTTATGGACGGAAAAAAGTTGCAGGAAATCATGGGCCACACAACTTGGCTCAAGGTCTGTGCTAAGACCAGGGAGGAAGCAGCCTGGTGTATCTCAGTCAGACTTGACAGTGGTGTTGGGTGACACTGGAGTGCAGTCCCCGCACCTGGGCTCATCTCGTGCTCTTGGGGATCTCACCCAACCCGGAGATTTCTGACACTGACAACTCTGAAGTTGGTGTCTCCAGTGTAGTCCTTTCTCCAGGCATCTTCTCAGTGAGACACTGCACTAAAGCAGCAGGAATCAGCCAGGGGACTGGCAGAGTGCTGGCCCAGCTTCGCGAGGCCCCAGGTGTGAACCCCAGCACCTCAAATGAAGTGTATAAATAGACAGAGCAGTCAAATAGCAGCAGTCCCTCTCCCTCCCCATCTCCCAACTCCATCCCACTGCTCCACACTGTTTTCTCCATAATAATGTGTCCTCATGTGATACATGTGTATTATGTTTATTCTTATTTTTTTTGGAAAAGACAGGAAAATGCACCTACTGTAACAGCTGCAGGCGCACAGGGCACACACTCACGGAGCAAGCATCAGGTCAAGGAATGCGTGTTATTCTCCCAGAGGCCCTGCACACAGTTACTTCTGCCTACCCTCTGTACAGTCACTGTCTTGCCTTGGCCTGGCATTGGTCAGCTTTGTGGTTTTGCACTTGACATAGCGGAATCATACTTTGCCTGTTTGGCTTCTCGATCACAGCGTTCCCACTGGGGGGGCTCAGACACAGGCTCTGTGCGGCTGAGACCGCCGTTCCCATGGCTGGGTGGACAGGACTGGCTGCCGGTGACGGGCACCTGGGCCGTTTGCAGCTGGGACTGTCACCCAGCTTTCGGGGACACGTATCTGCCTTTCCGTGGTGACTTGTGCTATGCTTAGCTGTTTGTGTATCGGCTGTCACATAATCAGCACGAGGCAGATTTTTCTTTTCTCTTTTGTTCACGGCTGGGTTCCCAATGCCTAAAATAATGTTTGGCACATCTAGGCATTAGATGTTATTTGTTGAATTAGCAAATGAAATCCTTTTCTTGCTCTTATTTCATTGATCGGAATAGTTATGAACCAATTCTTCCCTCTTTGTAAGGAATGCTAAATTCGCTTCTATATTTTGTTTTAAATACCCAACATGGAACCTCCGGAAATGTAGGTGACAATTAATCACAGGAAGCTTCGACAGGCGCTTATGTGCTGGAGAATCATCTGAATTTACTCACCACCTGGTAGATACATAATCAGTATATGGGGGCTGTGATCTCAATTCTCTTGCAAGTCCAAAATCTGCAATTTTCACCAGTTCTGGACCCATGCAAAGCAAGTTTTCTGGTTTCATGTCCCTGTGAAAAAAGCCTTGGACAGACAGAAGGGAAAACATCATTAATCATCATAATTTAACCCTGTCTTATCTGATGTACAGACAAAGCAAAACCGAGCCTCTCTGTTGTAATTAGAAGTGTGATGTTAGGAAAGCAAACCGTATTTATTGTTATCTAAGAAGTGATGGGATATGAGGAGCTTGCTCTCAAAACGATTTGGCAAGGAAGTTCGGAGTATGTAAGAGAACTGCCCATTCAACAGTTTTTTTTATGTGTGACCTCAGTAGGCTCTGGCACAGGACCATATTGCCAAGTTAGGGTGTCCCCACTAATGAGCCATTGCTGTCCCACTGTGTAGCAGTCAGGGAGGCTGAGGGCCAGGGAAAGTAGTCTGTGATTGTTAACTTGAGTTGTGTCAACTTGATCGGCAGCCACCGAGGTATACACACTCCTAGGTGTGTCTGGGTGGGTGGTGGATGTGTGTCCTTTGGTCCTACCCTTGGTCCCTCGCCCTTTCTGGCACTGTTCCCCTGCTCTGCCCCTCGGCCACCATGAGTTAAGCAGCTGTGCTCCGCCGTGCCTGTCCACCATGCTGTTTCTGCCTCAGAGCCATGTGACCCCGTTTGGGTTCCCTAAAGCTGTGAGCTAAATTAGACCTCTCTTCCTTCCCTTGTAGGTGCTGGGTAGTGTGTCCCAGGAATGGGGAGGCGGACTTAGCCATAGCCTAACTGATGTGTGGAAAGTGCGTCCTAATCAGGCCTAACTCCGCGTAGCTATTCTCACTAGGATTCCATCACAGTGCAGTATAATGCAAGATACCTTGAGTATAATCATTTACTTGAAAAGAATGCTGGACAAAAATGGAAATTGACATATTATAACCAGTTTCCTCATTTAGCATTATTTTAACAGCCTTCCTGGTAGCTAAGTCTTTGAAAAGCCCCATAGTTATAATGATTAGATTCCCTATCCAATATAGAAACCAAATGGTTAGTAACATGGGCTAGTAGGCAGCCCAGAAGAAAATGAAGCAGAAAACCCAGGAGAAAGAGAAAGAGAAAAGCTCTTCTTGCAAACCAAAGGGCATCTCTTCCTATGGGTGGTCTCAAGCATATCGGGGCACACAGGTGACGTGGATTCTGAGGTTTCACCAGTGATAGGAACTATAGAGAGAGTGAGGGTGTAGGATGGACTGATGATGATGACTGAGATTACAAACCGATGATCAAACTGCTAAAAAGTTCTGTGATGGAGGAAGACAATCATAGATTATAGATATCCTACTATATAATAGAATTATACAATTGTTGATTAAAAAGCCAATTTAAGTAGACACTACAAACTTGTAGTTACTTAATATAAAAACTTTTAACAGTTGATATACAGTTCATTTGCATGATCTTGACACTATTCTACAGAGGCAGGGACCCGAGACTTAAAAGAAACCTACCATGTTTATGGATAAATGCCAGCCCTTGCAATATTTGACACATAATGTTTCTGATGACTGACTCCGGGAACAGTTTGTTTCTGGAGGAAATGAAGCAACAGTCATGAAATTCTGTTACCCAACCAGCACAAAGAAGATAGATATCTTCCCATAACATAAAGATAAGATATTCCACTGGCCTTGGCATCTCTCTTGGTTTCATTGTGTTGACTAAAGCTATAATTTGTAGATTTTTAGAGTTAAAGGTTATACATTTTTATCATCATCATCATCATCATGGTTTTTTTGAGACAGGCTCTCACTAAGTAATTCAAGCTGGCTTTGAACTCATGGCGATCCTCTTGCCTCAGCCTTCCAAGTGCTGGGATTACAGGCATGTGCCACGGTGCCCAGATTAAAGATCATCAATTTAAAATGTGAAAATAGAATTTTTTGTTTTGATGTTGCTCAAAGATTCAAATCCAACACAGAAAGTACTACACAAAATTCAGTAGCTAAATTCTAAACTGGCCCAAGAGGAGCAAAGTGAACTGGAAAGTTGAATTGCTGGCAGATCAGTTGAGTGGGAAAGCTGTGTGGTGTAGCTTGGAGAGTTTTATGAGATGTGGGCTTCCGTTTTGCTGCACAGTGGGAGGTCCACAGGGATACAGGAAAAACCACAAAGAAGCACCATTTACATTCTTAACATTATTTTCTAGTGCCCTCATCTTAAAAACGCAAATGAAATAGGTAGGTAAATTTTAAACTTATTTTTAAATTTTTATTTAAACTGATTTTAAACTATGCACTGTTTTATTTTAACTGATGCATAAATACCTAGAAATTGTACATGTGAATGGGTACCACGTGATGCTTTGGTACATGTATACACTACGTGATGTTCGAGTCAGCTAAACATAGATATCTCCTCAAATATGCATCATTTGCATAGGGTGAAAATGTGCAAAGTCCTAACCGACTGAAACCTGTAGCTCACGGTCGTTCTCTACACTCACCAGTGATGAGGCAATGTGTGAGGACCGCTTACTCTGGCTTAAGTACTCACCGATCCACCATTCCTCTCTTCGGCCTCATTTGATTAATTTTCAACAATCTATTATATTTAAACCTAATAGGTACTAAATAGCATTTCAACATGCAACTGGTACACATAATACATTTCTTCTTTTCATACCACGTTTTGAACACTTGTTATATCATTTGTTGTACATTTATAGCAGAGTGTGATTTAGGCCTTTTAAGAGCTCAGCAGGCACACATGGCAGTGGTCAGTGTCTTGGGCCAGGCAGTTTCATGTGGTGCTTGCGTGATGCCTCTAGTGAATCCTGGTGAGGGCTAAGCAAGGCCGCAAAATATTAATCTCCACCAGGTGGCCCATTAACGTGATTGATAACTCATTCTTTGAATTTTAGAGATTCTGGCCACAGACTTAAAAATTAAGATGAGAGTTTCTTTGGGGTTGCCAACACATTAAGTTTTACCACTTACTTCTGCGTTCTAATGAGGGATTTTATTAGATCCTGTCCTGAAAGCTGCTTCATTCTTTTTTTCATTGTTTCATTAACCTTTCACAAGGTGATTCAGAGGACCAGGAAGGTAATTCCCTCAGTTTTGCCTAAGGCCAACTTTATTACCTTAAACTATAGGTAGACTTTATTTTATTTTAAGAAGTAAAATGGTGCATGTGTCTATATGAAATGTTTATGTTGGCCTATAAGGAATTATAAGAGAAAAGCCATGGCTGTGTCATACCTGGTTTATCAGTGTTAAATGCTACCATTTAACAAAAATAACAGAACTAATTAAATCTACCTTCTCAGTGATAAAGCTATATATCAAGTATGATAAAGTGAAAAGATCTAAGGAACTCATGGAAGAAATATTAGGGGAAAGATAGTTTTCTAAACTAAAGACATACCTGTGTTTCATTAACTGATAGAGATTTTCTTTCATATACTCAAATATAAAATAAAGATGGTTATTTTCTCTGATGACTTCTTTCAGTTTAATCACGTTGACATGATTAAGTTTCTTCAGAGACTGCAAAAACAGCAAAGCATTAAAATTCTTAAAACAAATTTATAGACATTGGCAAAATCTCATCAATGCTAGGTTTGAAAATAACCTTAAGTAATTTTCCATTTTTAGCGTAATGACATTTTAATATCTATATATTTTAAGTCCTCTTAGAACACCTATTTAAAACAAGTAGTAAATGCTTTAAGTAATGAATATAAAATACAAACATAAACCCAGTCAACAACAGATACCTAACATTTTAATCTGTCACTTTTTTCTCACTGTCTGTTAAATTGGTCTAATTTTTTTCTATCTTAACTATGTGAAATTCCATGCAAATATCTCCAAAAATTGGGGTTCCAGTCACACAGCACAAAGTATAAGGAAATGGGACATAGTAATTTAAAAAGTGGTTTTTCCTTTGACAAGATGAATTTAAAATGCTATTTTAATGTGAGGGAGAAATTAAGATGTGAAGGCACATTTATTTTCAGTTCTTCACTAACACCAGAGCAAGAAGAAATACGAAATGGGGAGAATTAAAAAGAAAAGATAAACACAATTATCTCTGGAATGCTTCCCACAGAGAGGAGAGTAAGGTGCCTCGCTACTGTCCTCAAGCTGAGTAGTCAGGGCCTCGATTCTTTTCCTCTCTTAGGCTTTACCTTAACTTCTCTTAAATTCATACATTCATCCCAGGAATAGAACTTTCTCTTCATCCTGAAATAAGGAAACATTTAGTGTATGAGATTGAAGACTCCAGATACAACTTATAGCCTTTGTTATACTTTACCATTTTCTTTATTATGGGTTAGAGTTCGGGTCTAACCTTGATTCCTTCGGGCAAGCTGTGGTTCTTCTCTTTCTTGTGTCGGGAAAGGAAATCCTCTAGACTGCTCAAAAGCCTTTTTTTCTTTTTTTGGTACCGAGGATCGAACTCGGGTCCTTGCACTTCCGAGCTAGGGGGCGGCATCGCTGAGCTAAATTCCCGGCCCCAAAGCTTTTCCTATTAAGTAGCCAAGTGTCACTTAGTGTGGAGAGAACTTGTGGTAACCGCGTCCCTTGGAGATTTCATCCCCGTGCGAACCTCCTGTGTCACCTAGGATGCACGGTACACTGTCACGCGTGCGGTCCATCCCTGACCAGGCTGGACAGACTCCCCCCTGGGTTCCCACGCTCAGAGTCACAGCCCTCTCTGTCACCTGCTGTCTCTGCACTGCGCCGGCACAGGGCCTCTTCTCCATTTCCCTCCTCCACACTGCTCTCCGCAGAGCTGTCTCGCTTACAGCCTGCCCTCCCAGCCCCCAGGACCTCACTTCCGGTTCTTCTGACCTGCACAAGTTTTCAGAATGAAAAGTGCCTTCCTTCACCTGGACAATCCACTTGGCTCCCAGGGGACCTGTTTACTGCCCTCGGTGAAGACCACGGCAGGCAGCTCTGCTTCATGGGCTTCACACAACGTGTTCAACGTGGAAAGTTTGGGGGGTTTTCTGAGACAGGTCTGCTATGTAGTTCGGTCTACTCTCAGACTTGCGACAATCCCCCTGCCTCAGCCTCCTGAGTGCTGGGATTACAGGCCTGCGCCACCACACCCGGCTTTCAACACGGAGTTCATTTTTAATTTTTTGGGAAAAGTATGGATGGATTCAAAGTGTTACACAATGTGTTATAACGAGACTATTTATGCCCCAAGTTGGGAATGCGGAAATTTTTATACCACCAGGCAGCAGGCGCGAGTCCTGACTGGGTATCACGAGGTGTGAGTTGTCCCGGTAACAAACCGGGACAAACTGAAAATGGGAAGTGAGGATTCACACCACTCGCGCGCAGGTTTACTCCTACAGCCGTCCCGCGTGACCCTGTAGGTGACATCAGGCTGGGATGACCCTGTCTTGTCCAGCGCCTTGAGGAGCAGAGGCTGCGAGGAACATTTCTGTCCTTATTCTCTGCCCCATCACAGGCGCCCAAAAACACCTCCTTCCTTCCTGCCTCCAGCATCCTCTTCTTCAGCTCTTGGCGCCCCCTGCCGTCGCCTGCGTGGCCTTGCGGGGCCTCGCGGGGCCTCGCGTCCCCTCCTCAGCACCTCCCTCCCAGCCCTGCTCTGCTGCGGGGTCTCCTTATCTCTTCTGCTGGAACAGCGCTCACCACGGTTATGTCATCCATAATGCAAGGACTCCACGGCAGATGATGTTGCTTGGATACCAAAGGGCCACTTTCCGGGCCCCTGACAACAGAGGCGGAAGGGTGCAGACTCCTCGGGCTCCTTTGGAAGTAATGGAGAGCACATGGCCGGATGCTAGCCAGTAACAGCTAGGGGGAGCCCTTGGAGCCTCAGAGAAAGAAATACCACTTCCTGGAAAAGGTTGAGAGGAGTCTTCTGGTGCCATTCTCCCCTCTTCCCACCTGGGAGATGGTTGAAATGGCTGGAGCAGAAGGAGCCATGATACACCCATGAGTCAACACACTTAAGGACAATAAAATACTGACCACTCAGTATGAAGAAGATAGAAAAAGTCTGTATTCCTTGGGTACACTTTTGAGCCCCCTGAAAGAGCTTTGGAATAATACAACTCCAAGTCTCTTGATATGTCAGAAAAATATTCATACTGAAGTCATCAATTCTGCTCCCTGCTGTTAATTCACATCTTTGTGACTCGCACAAGATGCATTCCTAACTGGTAAAGCTGCATTTCAGTCCTTGGTCTTCACCTGTCTTCCAGCTGAGCACATCTCCTTTTTCAGACCATTCCCCGGGGTTCAGGTGTCTCCTATCCCTCTGGTTCCCCTTATTTCTCCAGTGCTTCCCTGCAGTCTTGTTTGTAAGAGCCAATCTAGGGCCTATTCTTTACACACAGGGTTTCTCAGTGACCTGCAAGGGGCCTGCTTTACTTCTCCCCACAAAGAGATATTTGGGGATCAGACTCAAATATCAGCATAAAGTTAATTTATGTTTCATAAACACCTTATGACCATAGAATGAAGGTAATTTTATACAACATTTTTAGAAAGCCTGTGGTTTGTTTTGGTGTTTTGGATTTGATTTTTTGAGACAGTTTCACTTGTAGCTCAGGCTGGCCTTGAACTTACTGTGTAGTCCAGACTGGTCCCAAACTCACAGTGATTCTCCTGCTCAGCCTCCCAAGTGCTAGGATTACAGGCGTGCATCACCACTCCCAGACCTAGAGTGCTTGAGTTTTCAGTACAGCCTCATGAAAAGCTACACACAAAGTCAGGTGTGGTATTTTCCACTTATGGGGCCATCTCAGAGCTCAAAAACTTTCAGACTTGGGAGCATTTTAGATTTTAGATATTTGAAACAAGAATCCTCAACCATCTGAACCATCATGCTGGACCTCTGTTTTGTGCTTTAAATGCAAATATGTGCTTGTTTCACAACAATTTCAAGTCGTCGTCATGGCCAAAATGGAACTCAGGTTAAGCCTGTGACCTCCATCCCTGTTGTGAGTGATGCCACCGCCGCCAGGAGTGGACATGCAGACTCCTTCACCCGGCTTCACCCTCTGTCTCTGTCCTCAGCCACACTCCAGGCGCTTGTCCTGTACAGTGCTTCTCACTCAGCAGCAGCCAAGTCCGCACTGTCTCTCCCCAGGTCTGAATCCAGGGCCTTTGCACTGAGCTGTGTCCTAGGCCCTTTTTAACTTTAGACACGGTCTCAGGGGTTTGCTAAATTGCCCAAACTGGGCTAAACATGGAATCCTCCTGCTTCCTCTTTTTTAATGATGATTGCTTTCATCCTTGAGGGCTCACTGTCTCCAGTGCATTTTTATTTTGAGACAGGGCTGAGGAAATACTCAATGCAAAGGCCCTGGGCTCAGTCCTCAGCATCCCCTAAAAAAGGTTGAATCTGACACAGAAGGCCACATGAGGTCACCAATATTGCCATTGGAGTGGACCCTCCAGCCCCAGATGACTGATGACTGCCACTGTCTTAAGGCCACCCCTGAGAGTCCCCAGGCCAGAGCTGCTAGATTCCTGACTCACAGACGCTGTGAGTGAATACATGTCTGAGGTTATTTTAAATTTCTAAAGCTTTTTAGGGTATCTTGTAGCAATAGATAAACACAATCGGTTAGGAAGAAATAATTCACTGTAAGAAAGTAAATAGCAAGAAAATACTATGTGCCATTAGAACTCAATTGGACATTATAAACATAACCTGATTTCAAGAGCTTGATTTCTTTATTTGCTATACTGGGCATTGAATGTTGGCCTTCCTGCTAAGCTATGACCCCAGCCATTTTTACTTTTTGTTTTGAGACAGTGTCTCACTAAGTCATTAGGTAGCCCAGGCTGGGCTCAGACTTGGTACCCTCTTGCCTCAGTGTGCCAGTGTGCTGGGGTTAGAGGTGTGCACCACCACGCCTGGTTTAGAGGCTTATTATTTGAAGGAAATTGTAAGCTCCACTCTGTCCTCAACTTGAAATCTGAACAACAGCCATTACTTACAGTCTCAGTCCAAATTTATTAGGTATGCGGAAGCACTCTTAAAATTTCTGGTTGATTAAAGTCCTCGGACTCCTTTCTTGGTAATTTCCTTCTTTCCATTAGTCAAATAGCACGGATTACGAACTAGACCCCTCTGTGTGCAGATATATTCTCACACAGGAGAAGGACACGCCTCGGGGACACAAAGACGACAGCCGCGCGCGAACACGCACCTCTTGATGGCCACCAGCTCCCCGGACTCGTTACTCTTGCCCATGAGTACGCTGCCGTAGGTGCCGTCCCCCAGCTGCCGCATGGTCGTGTAGCGGTTCATGGTGGAAAAGTAACGCCGCAGGAGTTGCCGACTGCAGCACCTTCCTTGCAGAGTCTAAATGGAAACACGTCCCCCTTTCACGCGCTCTGGCCCTCTGTGTGGTTGCTACACCGGTGACGGCCCGTCATCAAGTGCAGGCTCTTCCTCCAGCCGTGCAGGCTCATGACTCTCAGCAGCAAGGAGTCTGGCAAAGAAACCCCGCTTCCATCCTTAGGAACACGCTGGAGAAAGAAAACAAAAATAACGTGAGTCTTCATGAAGGAGTTTCTGCACAACATCTCCTGGCAACCGAGAGCACAGACAAAAGTGAGAAAGAGGGCAAATACACGTGTCAGCCACTCATCTGTGCTACGCGGATGGAAGTTCACATAGGATATACTAGGAATATTAATGCACTGATTACTTCATTTACATTGTGATAAGCTACTTATGATTGTTCAATGTGGGTTTAATGATTTGGATGATTTCTTTTCAGGGGGCTATAACCTATATTATTGCCAATAAGACCTTCGGGAAAATCTGACATTTAAACTATTTGGCTTCCTTAGCTCAGCTTCCTGGTATATGCCTGTAATCTGAGCAGTCTGGGAGACTGAGGCAGGAAGACTGCAAGTTTGAGCCCATACTGGGCAACTTAGTGAGACTTTGTCTCAAAATTTAGACAATGCTTTATTTATTTTTGTTTGTTTAATTGATTTTGATACAGGGTCTGGCTATGTAATCCAGGCTGGCCTTGAACTCACTGTGTATCCCACCCAGGCTGGCCTCCAACTTGCAGTGATCCTCCTGCCTTAGCCTCCTTCATGCTGGGATCATAGTACCACCATGACCAACAAAAAACATTTTTAAATTGGAGATGTAGCTCAGTGTGAAGGTTCTGGATTCAGTCACCAATAACACACACACACAAACACACACACACACACACACACACACGCACACGCATGCACCCGCACACACAATATCCATTCCTTGAATCAGCTTTTGCATCACAGTTAACTGAGAATACTAAATTTAAAATTATACTCTTTGTAAGAAAAATTCCTAGTACTGTGTAACTATCCCAATTAGATATGGTAAACAAGATAAAATTGTTTTATATGGAGACATTATAAAACTTCACATTATATTTAAATAATTTGCTACTTAATTTTACATTAAACCAAAAAAGAATAAATACTAATTAGGAATTAGTGTCATACTTGGTACAAAGAAATGAGAAATATAAAACCATTCCCATATATACACATATATCTATGTCTGTTGGAGCATATATGAGACATAATTATAAATTTGAAAAGCTGCATCTCACCAAATCACTGAGTCTGGATTAGGAAAACAAAGCCTGGGGTTGGAATCTTGGTGTAACTTCCAACTCCCTGCATCAGGGGCAAAGCTTTCAATGGACAGCACCTCAATTCCCATAACCATAAAATGCAGGTCGCCCAGCCCTGAGTCCCGGGAGACTGAATAACCGCCTCCTACACACTCTGATCGCGCCTCTCTCATCCACAGCCCTTTTGCAATTATTACATCAAAGAAGACACCAACGGACACAGAAACATACTTTCTTATACTAGAACGGAGAGCAAAAACACCAATTAAAATGAAGTGAAACATTAGTGAAATTGCTATTCTCTTACCAATTCTCCACTATCATCACTACCCTTGGCCCCAGCGACACAGGCACGAGTGGGACTAAGGCTCGGGGGCCAGGTAAGTGAGAGAGGTCTTTGTCACGGTGGCGGGCTCTCTCAGCGCCCCCCGGGTCCCATGCCTGGCTGGGGGCACTGGGGTCAACCTGGCCACGGATGGGCCACCCCAGGAAGTCATTAACACAGGGACCAAAAGGGAAACCTCAGCAGAAATCCCTGGTGATTTCTCTGTTCAATAAAACCCCAGGACACTTTTAGGAAGGAAGCCTGATAGTAGGTGATCGTGTAGCCTTCCAGGTATTCTGAATCCAAGTCACAGAAACAGAGCTCTACACTCATTAAACTCAAAACTCTTTAGCTGGCAAATGCTTTCCTCTAAATTCTTGCATTTTTCATTGAACCTGATTTTATTGTGCTTTTTTTTTTTTCTTTTTTTGGTACCGAGGATCAAACTCTGTTCCTTGTGCTTGTGAGCTAAGTCCCCGGCCCTTAATGTGCTTTTAAACAAAGAAGGAAATAAATGTGGGAGAGTGGATTGTGTTATTTGGCCCACCCGGTAGCAGGGTGCTCTCATGCTCCACCCCCTGCTTGCCCGTGTGACTTGCTCTGGCCAATGAAATAAGAGCAGAGGCGACACAGGGCCACCCCCCCATCCCAGCTAAGGGTCCGGAAGGGATATTCTAGGATCTGCTCTGGCTGTTCCTTCAGCCAGGAGTGTGGATTATCCCAGAGCAGGGTGCCCTTCAGCCTGGGTCCGGGGATAAAGAGAAAGTGGAGAAAGGAACGGCATCGCCACCAACTGCAGCTGAAAGGTGATGGGAATGAGAAATAAAGCTTTGTGCTTGCATCATTCATTATCAAAGCAGTAGACTAGTAAGTACATAAAGATCACAGTTTCCCTTTCCCCCTTTACCTATAAAGGGTCATATAATTAATATATATGCTGCCACGCCAATGGTCATAGCCACTTTCCTTCACACCATTACCCTATCACTATCTTATCATCCGTCAGAGCCACTATCCAATCACATAACTGATACTTCCTTATGATAAGATGATGACACACAGACAAGAGTTGAGAATACAGCAATTGTATACTACTTTAAATATGATCGCAAGTATCCATTATCCTTTAAACAAGTATAAGCAAAACACTTCAGACTCCTGTTAGTTCTAATTTTTCGTAACCACATTACACAGCACATGATAATTTCCCAGAATATTCTCACGTAAGCCTGTCAGCAGTTCTGCAATGCAGAGAGGCAGTTAAAGCATCCAAAAATGCTAAGTGGCTTGTCCAAAGTCACAGTGGTGGCCGATACAAGAGCTAAGTCAAGGTCAGTTTTGTCAAGCTTCTCCCGTTAACCACATGCTGTGTGTCTGAACCAGACTCATGAATTGAAATCCTAATTCCAGATGGCATTGGGGGAGGAGGGCTCTAGAAAGGGATCAAGTCCTGAGTCCTCCTGGATGGGGTTAATGCCCTCACCAGAGAGGCCCAGGTACCCCTTACAACATGTGACAAGCGAGAAGAGGGATATCCTTCCGGGAACCAAGAGGTCAAAGTCCACTGGCACCAGATCTGGACATCCCAGCCTCCAGGACTGAGGGATAGGGCAGCCCACACTGGCTGAGACAGTACGCCAGGGAGTCTGCATGACTTAGACTCGGACTCTCATTGGGCAGCAGAGGCAATTGGTATCGATCAAGGCCGAGATGGATAGAAACACGTGGCCCTGGAAAGGAGAGGACATACAGCATTTAAATAGCATTATGGCCAGTTATTCTAATGCAGACACAATCTTGAAAAAAAATTTGTATTACACTGACATTTCTGTATTTCTAGCCTGAATTTTGCACTTAATGGAAATTAATCAAATCTCACAAATGAAGATCATAACTGATCTGTTAAATGTGAGCTAACATCAGCACTAATAGCAGAACTTATGCTATATTGCTTGTTCTGTTAAGCACATTCTCTCGTAATATATAGTATTTTAACCTAATTTTTTAAAAAACCCTTTATTTGGAGATAATTTCAAGCTTATCGATAAGTTGTAAAAAAAAAACCAATGTAATGGACAGAGAATGTGTAAGCTAGATTTACACATTATGGGTGTTTGCTCCATTTTCTTCACCCTTTGAGCATGCTGTACACGTGCATACACACACACAGGGGTGAGCACACACATGCACAAACACACACACACACATGCTCTTTCTGAACCATTTAAGGTTAAGTCACACACAAGGCTCTTTACCCCTACCGAAGACAAACACAACTCGCGAATGAACTGCTCCTGCTCCTGTCTCTGTCTCTCGATTCAGTAGTGCCCTTTTCAGCGCTATCTCCCTCCAGCATCGAACCCAGTGTATGATCTGTTATTGCGTTTAGCTATCTCGTGCCTGTGGAGGTTGCAAGCACATGGCCAGCTAGAAATTTAAAGCAGCACCAATAAAGTAATACCAGTCTCAATGGGCTTGGTAATTATACTTGATCCTTTATTATGACTTGAATGATAGAATCTTATTTTTAAATATTATTTGAAAAGGAAATAAATACAGACGGTGAACTGCCTCAAGTCATAATAAAAATTATTCCCATTCCAGAGGGATCTGGAAAGTGAGTCAACACACGTCTCGCTGAGCAGTGCTCTCACCAGATTGACAGTTGATGGCTTCCTAACATCCTCCAGGTTGTATCCTGCTATGAGAATGGCCATTATTTAATTAAGTAGGAAAGAATTACAATACAGGCTGAATATCCCTTATTTGAAAGGCTTGGGACTAGAAGAACTTGGGATTTTTAAGATGTTTTTGATTTTTGGAATATTTGCATGTTCATAAAGAAATATCTTTGTGAAGGAACTTGCATCAAAACATGAAGTTCATTTATGTTTCACACCCCGTGTACCTGAAGATACTTTTACACTGTATTTTGATGCACCTGTGTTTTGACCACAACCTGTGACCTGTGGTCAGGTGTGGAATTTTCCACTTGTGTTAAGTCACCACTCAAACAGTTTCAGCTTTTGCTGCACTTTGGATTTCAGATTTTTTATTAGTGATGCTCAGAGTGTATTCATTAAGCAGCCAAACAGTAATACTGACAATCTAGTAAAGGCATTTATGCAAAACTCTTGTGCCAGATATGTCTTGGAGTCTAGAAACTTTCCCAGGTCTGGAAAGGCTGTACTGGAAAATTCACTATAGGACTAACTAACCAATTCCAAACAAGCACTGAAACACACATTTTGTTTCAACCAAGGATAATTGCAGGACAGGGTGTAATTACACTGCATTTAGGGAAGTGTGAACAAGGACCACAGTCACTTCCCAGCTTCTTTTGATGTGAGGAGTGGAGTGATGAACATTATAGGTTTGGCACTGATTTTTAAGGTCAGGTTTGTGGCTCCGTGAGACTTGGCCTGGTTTACCTAAATTTTAATTAAAATGAATTTTCCTACTGTGCTTGCAAACAAACACTTTAGCTGGGCATGGTGGTGCATGCCTGTAATCAAGAGGCTGAGGTGGGAGGACCACTGTGAGTTCGAGGCCAGCCTGGGCTACATAGTGAGTTCAAGGCCATCCCATGAGCTACATCAGTGAGATCCTGTCTCAACAACAACAAAAATCAAAGAAACACTTTAGAAAGACTTCTTTTGAGCCATATTGGTTATAAAATAAGATTTAAGGATGAGAAGGTGATTATTTCAGCTGTCTCTTCTATCCTTTGAGAATACAGGGACAGTGGCTTAATGTAAGAATGGATATGAAGGCAGTTTCTTTTTAATCAGTACTTGCAGGTGCCTTTTGCACATAAACCACCTTCATCAGAAGTGCAGCAAGGTCCTAAGGTGGTTACTAGTCAAAGAGCAGTACGTGTAACTTGAAAAATAGACTGCCTATGCTTCTCTCACTCACTCACAAAATACTTCTCTACAAGTTATAACTACTCACCTTTGATGACACATGGAAAACAAATTCTGCAAAATAGAGATGTATTAACATGTTTTCTTATGTATGCAAGCATATATGAAATATATACACATCAAAAATGTGATGTAACTGTGCTCAATTAATGTAACACAATTATTAGGAACTCAGAATTTCCGGCAATCAAACTGAAGCATTTATTGACTATCCTATGGGTTAAACAAATATTCTACACCAATTTAAAAGACATTTATTTACAGTGGCAGGTGTAGAATGTCACTAAATAAGTACCCCTATAACTTTCTTCTTATTCTAGTTTTCTTATTTTTATCTAAGTACACAGTTACTGCTTAAGTGCATAATTACTGTGAATTTGGGCTTTCTTATCAACGGCTTTGACCAGCTAATAAGGGATTTAGGTAGGATTACAGGAGTTTAGTCCAGAGGGCATGTAGAGGGTAGAACTTGTCAGCCAATGGGTGGTTTCAACTTGTTAGAAGATTCTAGGATGATGGTGGTCCAAAGCAAGTGTCAATGTTTGTAAAAGAGAACTGTAATTAATGTATTAAAAAGTGGTTGAAAAGCAAAACAGGCCAGGGCGTGGTGGCGCACACCTGTAATCCCAGCACTGGGGAGGTCGAGGCAGGAGGATAGCCCGGAGTTTGAGACCAGCCTGGGCTATATAGTGAGTTCCAGGTTAGTCCCAACTACATAGTGAGGCCATCTCAAACCCCCCCCCCAAAAAAGCAAACAGAACCGTGGGAAAATGAGGCAGGAGGATCACAAGTTCAAGCCCAGCCTGGGCAATTTAACAATCTAGCCAGACCTTATCTCAAAATAAAAAATAAAAGAAGGGTTTGCATGTGTAGCTCAGTGGAAAGACCTGGTTTCAATCCCCATAGTAAGGGGTTGGGGGCGGGGAAAGTAAGTTAAAAAAACACATCCACACACAAAATCCGCTGAGGGCCAACTTTGCCTAGGTGGCCGCCCTCGCCTTCGGGGACATCTCTCCCTCCTCCCCCATCACTACCCTAAGTTGCCAAAGTAATTCTGCTCCGCAACTCAGTGGGTTGCTTTTCTGATTAAAATGACTATAACTTTGTTTCTTCTTCGTCATGATTAGAAAGACTGTCTACTCATTTTAAAGGATTAAACACGATTACGTGCACTTCTTTCCTGTAGAATTGCTATTATAAGCAGCAAAACTAGTCTCCCTGCTCGCACAGCCCACACAGGACCTGTCCCTAAATCGCCGTACTGTACTCGCAGCACAGGAACCGCTTTTGTCTCTCGCGCTCTGATCCTCTGCGAACCAAGGCCTACATCTCACTCCAGGGGCAGGAGTCCCGCGGGTTTCCAGGAAGTGGGAGGTCCGGGGCCCTGCGTGACCCGCCGTTGAGATTGGGCGATTCCCGGCCCCCTGGGGCCACCCGGGCCAGGGTCCCACTTTTAAGTGCACGCCACTGGGGGTGCACTAACGAGGCCCGCATTTGAGCCAAGTTTCATCTCTCTCCTTTTTAATTTTGGAACAGTTCTGAACTCAGTTCCGCTTCCTCACCAACCCCAGTGCCGTGTCTCTCTCTCTCTCCCTCTCCCTCTCTCCCTCTCTCTCTCTCTCTCTCTCTCTCTCTCTCTCTCTCTCTGTCTCTCTCTGTCTCTCTCTCTCTCTCCCTCCCTCCCTCGCTCGCCGAGATCCCCCAATTCCCAAGGCTGCAGGGGCCGCGAAGGAGCAGGGAGAGGGCAATCCCGGGGCAGAGCTCCCGGCTCCTCTGAGGAGCCCCCACCGTCCTCCTGCCAGCCCCAACCCCTCCCGACCTCCCCGCTCCTCCCGGCCCGTCCCTCTCCTCTCCGTCCCCTACCGGCGTCCAGGTTCAGTCTCCCGGCGGACAACGGCCCTGGTAGGACGGGGCCCCCGGGGCACAGGC